TTATTTTAAAAATTAAGGACATTTTTCACAAACAGAAAAGAACAGATATGCCAATTCGTAGGTGGTTTTGCCTTATCTTTGGATGTAACTTTTAAAATTAGAACAATGATGATATAGAAAATTCTGAAATGTAGGCATAAATTAATATGTTCTAAAGGTAAATAATGGGGCTAAGTATTTTTGTTTTTAGTATTTTTTTTTTAAATTCTGATCTTATAGCTGCTGATAGCATTACTAGAGTTATTCAGTTACATGATGAACATGTTTATAACTTAGTCCAAACATTTTTTATAACTCTCAAAGAATAAAAGTTTTTCTTAAATGTGTTTTTTAATAAACTGCAGTATTGTTTAAGTGTATTGTGCTTTGTTTATTGCTACAATTTAAGAACTTAATTTAAAAGCAATTTTAGAAGGTTATTAGGAACAATTTTGGGGGCTATAACTGTCTAAACTGTAGCCACATGGTCAGCAGGTAAACTACATGATTTAAGAATTCTGTGTATTGTGCATTTTGGGCAACCCAACGTGCTGTATTTTCATTTTACTATAAAGCTCCCTTTATAATTTTCATTCTTCCCTCCTGGTCCCTTTTGAATATACTTCTTCTTTAAATATGTATTAAAACACTCACTATGAGCTTTTATCTAAATCTTAAAAGCAAGAAATTCTAGTCTTCTTTTACCCAACTGAAATGTTGCAAAATAGAAAAACATGGACAGGTGCAATGAAAGTTTTATAATGTACTTTATAGTACATGAATTATCTTCTAAAAATTAAAATAAGTTCCAATAAATGTAGAACCATAAGTGGTGGGTGCTCTGAAATCAAACTCATATAAGGAAGTCCCTCAGGTTTAAAAAATTTATTTATTTATTTATTTATTTATTTATTTATTTATTTATTTGGTACCTGGAATCAAACTCAGGGCCTTGTGCTTGCCAGGCAGGCCCTGTGCCACTGAACTATATCCCTGGCCTTCATTCAGCTTTTACATTAAAAACAAAAAAAAATTTGAAAAACTATGACAGAACATCTCTATTTAGACATGGGAAAAGATGCATTGGAGTTGAATTTAGTGTTGTCTCTGTCTTAGAACAAAGCTGTCATTATAACATCTATATATTTAAATCTTCAGCTTATTTCTCACTAAAAGGAGCTTAAGCTGGTTGCAGTAGCACACACACCTGTAACCTCAGCTACTCGGGAGGATCACAAGGTTGCAGCCAATTTGGGCAACTTTTTAAGACTCTCTCAAAACAGAAAATATAAGAAGTAAAAACCAAAAAGGCTGAGAATGAAGCTCTGTGGTAGAGCACTCCTGGGTTCTATCCCCAGTACTTCCAAAAACCTCAAAACTGGAGCCAAGGATGTAGCTCAAGGGAACAGCACCTGCCTGGGAAGTATGAGGACCTGAGTTTGATTCCCAGCACCCCCCAAAACCAAAACAAACAAACAACCCTCAAAACAACAACAAAAACCGGCTTAATAGAGATGAGCTTTTTCTGAAAATAAATAAACAAAGGTAGTAATTTCCTCTTAGAAAACCGAATACTTTCCAGCTAATTAAAAGCAGTTCATATAAGTTGCATATTTTTAGAAAGTTCTTAAGACATACTGATAGGTACTTTAGTATAGAAGATTATCAAGTGTAAGAATTATATCATGAGGCTAGGGATGTTTGTTCTGTGGCAGGCACAAAACAAAAACCAAAAATAACAGTTTGCTACTCGGTAGCAAAAATATCAATTATAAACAAAAATGATAATTTCAAAAGGTGATAACTAGAAATAAAGTCTAACTGACTAATATTTGTAGGTTTCTTTATGTGTTGGATCTAGAAGTAACCTTAAGTTTAGGACATTAAAACTGAGACAAAAGGGGCCGGGGATTTAGCTCAGTGGTTCTGCTGCCTGCCTCACAAGCTCAAGGACCCGAGTTCGATCCCTGGTACCAAAAAAACCCCAAAAAAACCTGAGACAAAAGACTAGGCAAACCTGTATATTTGCAGCAAATGGCATGTTAATACAATCTGTATTGATGGAAAGGTTTTTTAAAAAAAGATGGTGGTCAAGGAAATGGCAGGGGAGACAGTGGGAGGAGATGGTCTGTTGGGGTAATGGGAGAAGGAACCAATAAGGTTGACAATGGACTGGACATAAGAATGAGTGAAAAGGCAAATGAGTTCCCAGTTGGTCCCAGCTGGAATGTGGAGGATGGGAGCATGTGCTCTGCTTTGGAGTTCTGGTTCTGTCGGGCCATGGGCTATTGTATTCATTTCCTATTGCTGCTGTAACAGGCTACCACAACTTTAATGACTTGCAACACCACAAGAACTGATAGCTCTGGAGATCAGAAGTCTGAAATAGGGCCAATTGGGCTGCAATCAGGGTGTCAGTGGGACTGTGTTTCTTCTGGAGGTTCTAGGGGAGAATTATTAAATTTTTTTTTTTTTTGTACCAGGGATCAAATGAGTGACCTTGTGCTTGCAAGGCAGGCGGCAGAACCACTCAGCTAAATCCCAGGCCCTTTTTTTTTTCTTTTTACCGTTTCTAGATGCTACCCACATTCCTTGACTCATGATCCCTTTGTTCAACTCTAAAGCCTGCAGCATCATATCTTCAGATCTTTCTCTGACTCTGACCCCCCTGCTTCTCCTCTTATAAGGACCTTTGTAATTGCATTGCACCCACCTGGTCATGTCTCCATCTCAAGATCTGTATTGCCATATAGAAGGTGACATATTCACAGATTCTAGCAATTAGGACATGGACCTCTTGGGGGTCGTTATTCTGCTCAATAAGCCTCTACCGGCTGGTCTCTGACAGGGTCACAGATGTAAAAGTAGGAAGTTAAGCATTGACGGACCTATTGTAGCAGTGGGATTGGAAGGGAGACTAGGGAGAAGGTGCTGGCTGGGAAGCCAGGGACCAAGCCCAGAACCCTGGTGGCATCTGTAGGTCAGACAGTGAAGGAGCCAGCGAAGGAGTCTGGGGAGGAAAAATGAGGGAGTAGGGGATATCAGGAAAAAAGTGTGTCCTGTGTGTCCTGGAGGAGATGGCCACTCATGTCCAGGGCTGCTGAGAGGATGAGGAAGATGAGGGCAGAAAGGTGCATTGGGTTTGGCAATCTGAGACATAAGGACTTGACAAGAGCGGTGTCAGCTTGGGGTGGGTGGGTGGATGCATACACACAGGTTGGATGTGCTATTCTGAAAACTATGCAAATATTATATTTCATAATTTAAAAAATGTACAGGGCCAGAGATTTAGCTCAGTGGTTTCACCGCCTGCCTTGCAAGCACAGGGGCCAGAGTTCAATCCCCGGTACCAAAAAAAAAAAAATAAACAAATAAATAAGGAATTGAGGAAGTGGAGAACACATTTCATTTCTGTCCCTCATGCTATACTTTCTAGTCTGTCCTCAACCCACCCCAGCCACATTGTGACCTTTCAAAAGCACAGACTGATCACGTACTTCCCCTTATGAAGTCCTCCCCAGCTTCCTGCTGCCCCCAACATGAAGGCTTTGGATATTTGTGGTTCACTGTTTCCAAGCCAAGCCTCAGGTCCCCTTCTCTGCCTGCCCTGCTACACTGCCCAGCACAGGGCAGTCCTGCCTGGGGAACAACGTGGATAGTGAGACTGGTGAGGCTGGGCTTGGGGTGGGAGATAAGATGCTTGCAGTCAGGAATCACAATCTCTATTTCTGATAGGAAAATATTATCACTGAATTCTGAGTGACTCTCAGGAAGCCAGCACTGCCTCCAAAGAACCAACTATGACGCTGGTGGCCCCTGGGGCTCCCATCCCCCATCCCCACAAGAGAACAGAGATTTTACTTACCAAGAGAATCCCCCTTCTCTGTGGGGTGGGCTACAGGTCCCCATAATGCTGAGGCTGTGGTCCTGAGCTCAGAATCTGCCTGCCTTTCCCGTGTCTGGGCTGTCTCCACAGCACCAGATAGCCAGTCTGTGGACCTGAGATGGGAAGACTGTGTCTGAGCAGGCAGCGGGGGGACAGGCAGCCCTCGGCCAGCTCTGTCTTGCTCTCTGCCCTACCACTCAGGCTCCTGGTCACCAGTCCTAGAATCAACAGGACCTCAGCACCCCTACATCGATGCTCCCTCACCCAGGATGCAATCGCTTGCCAACCTGTAGGTAAGTCAGTCCCAACTCTAGGAAGTGCTCCCCAGGACCCTCTTTCTGGGGATCACACTCATCCCAGTCCATTTACTCCTGGGTTCCAGCCCCCCTCAGTGAGCCTTCCTTCCATACCAGTGCTCAAGCCATCCCTCCAGCCTTGGTCCTCACCTCTCCTGAGGCAATCCTATAACAGAAGCCATGCCTAAAATTTATCGAGTGTTTGCCGTGTGCCAGGCACTCTGCCAAGTGTTTCATTTACTTTTATCCTCAAAATCATGTGTTTTAGAGGAGAGGAAGTTATAGTCAGAGAAGTTAAGTGCTTTGCTTCCCAGTATGACTAAGGTCACACCTCTAGAGTTGGTGGCACTGTAGATGCAAACCTCACTCAGGCTGATTCCAAACCCCAGTGTAACCCAACACAATTCCTTACACCTCAGTGGAGTTCAACCCCACTTGTCCCCATCTAACTGTGGCCTTCCCAGTGTCTAGCATGGGGCCTGGCATGTAATATGTGCCTCTCGAATGAGGCATGAACTTGATTCACTCACTAACCAGATCTACCCATCCCATTCAGTCCAACTTATCAGCCACATACTGACAACCCCTGTCTGTGTGAGTAGAGCCTTTGTCTCAGTGAGAGGCGCTGGGCTCTGCAGATTTTCTGCCCAGACAAGTACACAGTCTTGTGTACACGCTGGGGCTGGAGGATTCTGTGGCTCAAAAGACAGTGTCCTGAGGCCCAGTGGGAGGTAGTGCGGAGCTCCTGCTTCTGTTTAAGGGTTGTGGGGTAGAAGATTCCCCAGGGTCTTCAAACCTGAAGTGTATACGGTCCATTCAGCAGAACTTCGGTGTCTTGCACACTTCCTTGGTGGTATACACACCCACCAGTTGTGCTTTTCTACCCTCCTGCCCCCTCTCCAGACCAGGAGCCTCATGAGGAAAAGCCCCAGGCTGTAATCATTTCTGGGTCTCCTCTCCCACCAGTTACTAGGCCAGAAACCGAGCAGACATTTGCTGAATGAGTAAATGAGGCAGGGGCTAGGCTCTGTTTCCTGGCTATGTTCAGGCCTGCCCAGGAAGCCCCCAACTCCAGCTCCTGGAGGCTGCTTAGGAGGCCCTGATCATGACTGCCCTGTGTGCTCAGACCTTGCCTCTCAGGGTTCCTCCCTCTTTGCTTGTTGAACTGTTTCAGAGCATGTCCCCATCCCAAAGGGGAGGTACCAGGGAGTGACAGTTGTCCGGAACCACCATGGTGTCTTGGTGAGTAAGCATGGGAAGGGGACCTTGGCTTTGATCCCAGAACTGACTCCTCTCCTGGCGAGGGGTGAGCTAGCTGTTCTGGTGTCCCCTTCCTAGTTGAGCCACTGAGTTCTGGGATAGAGGTGACAGTGTGGCTGTGACTAGGGCACATGGGGCTGACCCAGCCTTTCTGCTCCCCTCCTTCCTCTCTCCCCAGATATGCATTCAGGTGCAGGCCCGGCGGCCCCACAGCCTCAGCTTAGAACTCACAGGTGCCTGCAGCCTGCTGACCCCTGACTTGCGGCCCTGGGCCCAGGCCAGCTTCTTTGACCTTGGTAAGGAATGGAAGCTCTCTGGCCTTGGGAAGCTCTAAAGAGATCCCTTTGGGTCTCCAAGGAGAGGTACCAGGCCACAGCAGAGGCAGAGAGACACTGAGGCAGACTCAATGTGCTTTGTGAAAGGAATCATCACAGATCTAAATGTGAGCTTGTCTTGGGGGACCGTGCAGCCTTCTGACTCAAGCTCCTCCCTGTGCATTTCTTAAAGAAAATCTCCTGGCTCCGGATGCATATGTGGATGCTGGTAACTGCAACAGGAACAGAAGAGGAAGTACAGGGCAGGAGGAGAATGGAGCCAGGAAGTCAAGGGCTCTGGAGGAAGAGGAGGAAGAGGAGGAAGCTGGTGAGAAGGGAAAGATGTGGGGTTCCCAGAGCTGCCTCCCAGCTGGCAGCCTCCAGAGGTGTGGTGTGCCCATCTGGAAGAGGGGGGTGGGCAGTGGCTGGCCAGTCCCTCTGTACCTCCATCTTACAGGTGGGGAAACTGAGACCCCAAGAGTGGGATTCATGGCAGGATTCATATAGCAAGTCAGAGCCCAAGCAGGTTCTAGCTTTCTCTTTGCCTCTGAATCAAGAGCTTCACTCTTGAGACCTTCCATGGTTTCTCCTCTGAAATGAGCATTGGTGTGTGCCCTGCTGCAAGGCAGGATGTCTTGCCCTCACTCCTGCCCAAACCCCTTGCCCACTCTGGCCTGCTCTGCTGTCTTGGTCAGGCACTGAGATCGCCATTGTCTTGGATGGCTCAGGAAGCATTGATCCTCCAGACTTCCAGAGAGCCAAAGAATTCATCTCTAACATGATGGAGAAGTTCTATGACAAATGTTTTGAGGTGAGTTTTCCTTAGGGCTGGTCTCATAGAGTCCATCACCTATCTTTTTCTGAGTAACAAGCAACTTCAAAATAACCACCATTTTATTTGCTTGTGGTTCTGTGGATCAGATATTTGGGCTGGGCGCAATTGAGGGGCTCTTTTGTGGGTCTTGCCTGGAGTTACCCTGCAGCTGCAGACATCTGGTTGGTTGCTTGAGTGGCACTAAATGGTCTGAGATAGCCTCACTCACTTGTCTGGGTCATGTGTCTCAGGCAGGCCAGCCCAACCATTTCATGGCAGCAGCATCCCAAGAGGTCAAGGCAATGCAAGCATTTTCCAGTGTCTCACTGGCCAAAGCAAGTCACATGGTCAGTGCCATAGTCAGCACGGAGGGGCCTACCGAGGGAGTAGATTCAGGAAGAAATCTGATTCACTGGGGCCATGACTCTAACACTCTCCACCACCCCTACTTGAGTGGAGATTTCCCTCTGCCTTAGCTTCTCCTTCTGCCTGGGGACAAGGTAGACAAGCTGATTCTCTCAGCGCTGCCAGGGGGAGCTATCTTGGGGCAGGGGCGGCCTTGGGCAGGGCAACTCTGCCAACCTCCTCCTCCTGTCCCTCCCCTCCAGTGCAGCTTTGCCCTGGTGCAGTATGGAGAAGTGATCCAGACTGAGTTTGACCTTCGAGACAGCCAGGATGTGAGTGCCTCACTTGCCAGGGTCCAGAACATCACTCAAGTGGGGAATGTCACCAAGACTGCCTCAGCCATGCAGCACGTCCTGTGAGTGGGATACTGACTGGCAGCCCTACCAGGGCTTGGGGGCATCATGCCTGGAGGAGGTGGCTAAACAGATCTGAGAGAAGAGGGAGTGTCCTGTAGAAGCTCTCCAGGGACTTCCTCTGGCACAGTACAGCAGAGTGCAGACATGCTGCCCGGGTTCACATCTGGCTCGAGCTTGTATGTGTGTGACCTTGGGCAAGTCACCAGGTCTCTCTGCTTGTTTCCCACTTCACTGATCTTTTTTTTTTTTTTTTTTTTTGGTACTGGGGATTGAGCTCAGGTCCTTGTGCTTGCGAGGCAGGCAGCGGAACCACTGAGCTAAATCCCCGGCCCTCCCACTTTTAACATGAGGATGTTAGTCCTTGCCTCGCAGATTTTGTTTAAATACACACAATGTTTATGACAGCACTTGGCACATAGCAAGTGCTCTGTGAGTTTTACCCCCTATTTTTACATCAGCACTATTCCCCCACACACCTAAAAGATAGCCTTAAACAATGTCTAGCCCCATTCTGTCAGTATCAGGTGAGGAGCTGGAATATCTGTGTGGCAGATGTCTCGCTGTGTGACACAGGGGTATCGCCATCCTTCTCTGTGCCTTTGCTCTCCATTTTGGGGGAGGGCTTGTTAATCCTTTCCAATTCTAAAACGGGACAGTGGATAAAATCTCCGCCAGAGCACAGGCATCCCTCTGGCAAAGTTCTCTTCATTCCCTCTCCTACTTAGAGACCACATCTTCACTCCAAGCCGTGGCTCCAGAAAAAAGGCATCCAAGGTCATGGTGGTGCTCACGGACGGTGACATATTTGGTGACCCCCTCAACCTCACAACCGTCATCAACTCAGCAGAGATGCAGGATGTAGAGCGCTTTGCCATTGGGGTAAGAGCCAGGTGCAGGCAGACGGCTCCTGACCCTGCACAGCCTGGATGGAGAGGACCTTCCAGAGGGGCTTCTGGAAGTAGTGTGGCCAAACCCTCTCTAATCACAAACCCTCTTTCCTGTCTCCTGGTCCCCATGTCTGGTGCTCCCTATGGGTCTCCCTAAGGAAGGCTCACTTCCGAGTTGCGGTCACAGCTTCCTGGCCTGTGTGATGGGGAGAGCCCGAAGGAAGCTTCCTGGAGAAGGTGGTCCTGAGCTGAGCTTGGCAGACCAACAGGAGTGGCTGGCCTAGGTCCCAGGGGAGGCAGGAGAGGGCTCTGTGGCCACAGGGAGCAGCATGTGTGTTGCTGGGGGAAAAGCACGTGGTTTAGCAAAACTGGATTTTTGTTTGGAGAGTAGTGGGGAGAACGGAGAGCAGGGAAGGAAGGGAAAAGGAGGGAGGCAGGCTCCGGAGCACCCACCGCCTGGGGGCCCCCATGCAGGTTGGAAATGCGTTCCAGAAAGTTAAGACTGAAGCAGAACTGAAGCTCATCGCCTCGACCCCTAGTGAGACCCATGCCTTCAAGGTGACCAACTACGCAGCGCTAAACGGGCTGCTGAGTAAGCTGCAGCAGAACATCATCCACACAGAAGGTGAGGGTCCAGGCCTGGGCCATGTGGCAGCCTCTCAGCATCCAGCAGCAGGCTCCAGCCTGCTGTTCCAGCACCCTGTGCCACCCACCCAAGCCTTTGCTGGTCTTTTCTGTAGAGACAATAGTATTCTCAGCCCTCCTCTTCTCTCATAATCTCCACGAAGCTCTGGTGAACTGAGCTGGTGCTGGAGAAACAAGGACAGCTGGGGCATAATTCTTCCTCCTAGGACTCACAGATGTGGAAACTGGGGCCCCGAAAAAGGGAGTGAACCACCCAAGTCTACTCAGCCAGTAGTTGCTAAAACACAATCCAAACTCCACTCTCAGCTGGGTGCTCTTCTCCTTACACCAAACATCCACCCCTCAATGTGGCAGTGTCTCACTGGGCTTCTTGGCTTGCAGGCACCGTGGGAGAGGCCCTCCGCTACCAACTGGCACAGACTGGCTTCAGCGCCCAGATCCTGGATGAGGTTTGTGGCCACACAGCCCAGACAGGAATTCCAGGGATCACAGTGCAGGGCCCTGTGGCGATGCCTCTGAAGGGTAAAGGGAAACACATCTGCTTGGTCTCCCTGATCTGGACCACTGAGACAGACAAAGGAATGGTCACCCTTATTCCAGGAGGTCATTTTGTTGTATGTGCTTAAGGATTGGGTCATTTCCCTTAGACATTCAAGTAAACCAAGATTTGGCCTGGGTTGGCTTGCCAACCAAGTTTCTTACTGCTCCCAGAAACAGATATGGCACCTGACCCTGATGGAAGCACAGTTACCAACCCAGGAGGCTTCCGGTGAAAGAGAAGGACTTGAATGCTATTTTGCTCAATCGGACTTTTCTTTCTTTCTTTTTTTTTCTTTCAGTATTGAAGATTTGACCCAGGGCCTTTGCACTAAGCTACACTGTCAGTCCTTTATTTTTTAGAGACGGTCTCACTAATGTCCAGGCTTGAACTTGTGATCCTCCTGCCCCAGCCTTCCAGTGTGCTGGGATTTTAGGAAAGTGCCACCCTGTCAGGCTAATCATTCTTTAAAAAATGCTTAATATCCGAGTCCCAGGTCCACTTCTGGAGACACACCTGGCGTGATTGGTCATGGGTACAAGGCAGGGACCCACTGTTTGGCATCCCACCTTCCTGCCTGCAACTCTGGCCAGGCTATGCCGTGCTGCTGAACCTCACCTGCTTCCAGCAAGGTGTGCTGCCCTGGCACCTGGATCCCAGCCTCTCATTTGGCCCCATTCTTGTCCTCTGCAGGGTCAGGTGCTCCTCGGTGCTGTCGGGGCATTTAACTGGTCTGGGGGCGCACTGCTCTACAACATGCAGTGCCGTCAGGGCTGCTTCCTAAACCAGACTCCAGCAGATATGGGAGCTGCACAGTACAGCTACCTGGGTAAGGGCAGGGCCTGTGGGCTACCTGGCAACCTGGGTGAGGGTGGGGCCAGACTGGTATGCTGAGGTTATGTGTTGGTCTACACATTGAGATTCCTGGTAGAGGAAAGTCCTGGTTGGTGACATGGGTCACACAGGATGGGCCCTAGTTAGGGACCCTGAGGTTGAATATTCTGGGTGGGCACAGGGTGGGCTTGGGTAGCTGTATAGGGGAGAATGAGGTCTCTTCATTAATAACAGTGGGTGCCTGTGAGCAAGCAGGAAATGTGTGTGAACAAGTGTATTTTGAGCAAAGCAGTATATATGGTAATGTATGTGTAGCACATGTGTGTGATGGGGCATGTGTGTGACTGGTGACAGTGCATCACTAGATTTTGAAGGCCTGGCTGGGAAGGTGGGGTTCAGTGGAGTAACTTAGGGAGCACCTATTTACAGTCATACCACCCTGCTCCAGGTTACTCAGTGGCCGTGCTACACAAGGCCCATGGCATCTCCTACATATCGGGGGCTCCACAGTACAGGCAACGTGGGGCCGTGTTTGAGCTCCAGCCGGACAGCAGAGAGGCCACCTCCTCTCGGGTTCTGGAAGGAGAGCAGGTACCTGCTGGGGACCCATCCCCCACACTTATTACAGACAGGGATCCAGCAGCCCTGGGGAAAGGGATGGACCCTGGTTGGGCAAAGCTCAGGCTCCTGGGTCGAACTCAGTGGCTCTGCATGTCTGCCAGGTAGTTCCCCATTGTGAGCACTAGGGTGCTCACATGATTCCATGTCATTAATGAGCAAATTGCTTTGAAACAAGCTCATTTTGGGGACCCAGGAAGAGCATAAGCAGGTGTCAGCCTTGCTCAGGAGGTGGAGGGGGGATCCCTGCCACTGCCCATGTGCTGAGTTCCTCCTGGGCCGTAGTTGGGGTCCTACTTTGGTTCCGAACTGTGCCCTGTGGACATCGATATGGATGGAACCACAGACTTTTTGCTGGTGGCTGCTCCGTTCTACCACGTCCATGGAGAAGAAGGCAGAGTCTACGTGTACCGTCTGCATGAGCAGGTGGGAGAATCTCTGGCCCTGTGAGCTTGTCGAGGCTGTGGCTGCCAGAAGCCCTGCCTGGCTGCAGGGGCCAGTGATGGGGAGTGCTCCGGGAAGAGGGCCGCCCCTCTCCCACCCGAGGGCAGTTGTCTATGATAACATCCCTCGTAGCTTTGTGGTTGGTGAAGGATGTGCTGTCTGTAATTTTACTTGGTTCTCATAGTAATTAGAGGAGGTAGCTGTCACTCCCACTTGCAGATGAGGAAGCTGAGGCTCGCGAGTCTGCATGATGCTGAGACTTGTGAGTTTACCTAGCAAGGATGCAGAGAGCCATGCCTGGAGCCCAGCCTCCCAATTGCCCATTCAGGACTTTGTATGAGTGCAGGGGGCAGCCTCAAGGTCCTGTCCTTCAGGCAGGAGGACTTCAGCTTTGCTACCAGCCCACTGTGTGACCTTGCGAAGGTCCTGCACCTTTCCAAGCCATAGACTCACTGCAGAATAGAATCACAAGCTCATGAGTGTGTTCTTTGGATGGCAATGATGTGACACCCTGCAGGCCTTTCTTGAGGGCTGAGCTGCTGGTTTGCTTTGCAGGACGGTTCCTTCTCGTTGGCTCACGTGCTGAGTGGGTATCCTGGGTTCTCTAGTGCCCGCTTTGGTTTTGCCGTGGCAGCTGTGGGGGATATCAATCAGGATAAGTTCACAGATGTGGCCATTGGGGCTCCCCTGGAGGGTTTGGATGTGGATGACGGGGGCAGCTTCGGCAGTGTGTACATCTACAATGGACACCAGGATGGCCTCTCTGCCCGCCCCTCACAGGTGACCGTGGGACTCTCTCCTGCCTCACTTCTAGGGCCCTGACCTCCCCCAGATAGGAAGACTGAGCTCCATGTCCACTCTGGGCCTCAGTGCTGGCCTGGCCTCTGGTGGTTGAGGGTCCCAAGGGAGGACAGAAGTCACCCTGCACAGCCTGTCAGGCCCCGTGTCCTAATGATTCTAGCTCTCTCTCAAATCCAGCCCCTCCTCTCCATCCCCACCATCTCCATCCAAGCTCAGGCCTTGGTATCCCTGCCCTGACTCCCACCCTGCCCCAGCTCCCCGTGTCCTGCCCAACTTCCACCTGTGCCTTCACTGGCATTTCTAAAATGTAACCCGGATGACATCATTGATTCAGAAAAGCCTTTGCTGAGGCCCCGGCCTCACATCAAGCCTTGTTTCCTCCAGAAACTTCTCCCCACCCCCAACCCCACCCACTGCCCTAGCCCCTGGCAGTTCCCTCAATCTCTCCATCAAGTTCCAGGCCCCACTCACGTGTCACTTGCTCTGGGAAACCTCCCATCCTTCCTGATTGTAGGTTAAGGGCTCCTTTGGGTGAAAAGGTGGGATGATGCTGAATTGAATAGAATGAGAAAGAGCTTTTCTTTTTCTCCCCCTTCCATACCTCACGCCTGTGTCTCTCCCTCTACAGTGGATCAGAGCCTCTTCCGTTGACTCACGACTCCACTACTTTGGTGTGTCTGTGGCTGGTGGCTTAGATTTCAGTGGTGATGGCCTTGCTGACATCACTGTGGCCACACTGGGCCGAGCAACTGTGCTCTGGTAGGCATCTGCCCTGCCTCCTGGGACCCCTGGCCCTAGCTCACCTGCCTGCCCTGCTCTTGAGGGATCCATGTGGACAACATGCACCAAGGGAAGGAGGAAGTGTGACTGTTGAGGACACAGGTTCTGGAGTCTGTCTGTCTGAGTTTGAGCTCAGTTCTAATTTGCCAGAGTGTCTTTGGGCAGATTATTCAATGCTAAGTCCTAACTTCCTTATACATAATGGGGAATAATAATTGTGTATACAGAATTATGAGGATTATAAGAAGGAATATATGTAGAGTATTTAGCATAGTTCTGAGAGATGGCTATTGTTTTAGTAGAATTAGTATTAGTATTAGTACTAGGGCCTTTGTGCTTCACCCTAACATGAATTGAGTCCATGGCTAGAAGTAAGGCTCTGGTGCTCCTCCAGTAAGCTACCACTCTGTACCCATCTTGGCTGCTGCTCACAGGCACCTCAATCCGAAATGGAGCTCTGGTTCTCACTCACCCTTCCTTCTCCCAAATCTTGCCTATCAGGCTTCTGGTCTTGGCAAATGGGCAGGACCACTGCCACGGGAGCCTTTCCTGCTTCCTCTCTCTGACCTCCATTCTCCACCTAGCAATCAGTGGTCCCTTCACTCGCTGCCTGAAACCCTCAATGGCTCCCACTGAGAGCAAAATTCCAATTCCTCTCCATGACCCACAGGGCTCTCTGTGACCCAGCTCTGCTGTCCCTCCAATTCCAATATCCTATTACTACCTTCTGTCTCACTAATTGTGCTCCTGCCACACTGATCTTCATGTTTCTCAATAAATCAAGCTCATTCCTGCCACAGGCCCTTTGTATGGCTGTGCTTTCTTTCTTTTTTTTTTTTTGGTACAGGGGATCGAATTCAGGACCTTGCGTAGGTGGTAGCACCACTGAGCTAAATCCCCGGCTGTATGGATGTGGTTTCTGCATAGAATGCTCTTCCCCCTGATCTTCACTTAGCTGGCTCATTCTTGTTAACAGATTTCAACTTTAGTACCTCTTCATCAGCCAGGACATCCCTGACCATCCAACCTACATAGCCCAATTTCTATCACATTATCCTGTTTAATTTTTATCATAGCAGTTTCAGGACATAGTATTGCTTGTGGTCTGCTTTTCCGTTAGAGCAGGGACTTGTCTCTTTCCCCACTGTCTCCTGAGGACATAGAGAACTCCCTGCAGATTGGAGATGTTCCATAGATATTCATCGAATGCATGAATGAAGCAGTCAAGCACTGATCCCAAGTCATGTGGTTACTTCTTGTGGTCCTCTTTGCTGTTTTTTTTAGCTCACGACCTGTGGTTCACCTGAAGGTGTCCATGACCTTCACCCCTAGTGCACTGCCCATTGGCTTCAACGACAGCGTGTACGGGCATTTGTGTTTTGAAATGAGTTCCACAACTGTGGCAGCTGAATCAGGTAACAGGCAGCCAAGTGGCCCTCTGCTGTTGTGGTCATTGCTCACTGGCTTCTGTAGGGGGCAGGGAAAGAGGCTGGGATGGGGGCCGTGTGAGCTCTTGGTGCTTGAGATTACTTTTCTAGCGTTTTTGTCAGTAAGTTCCATTAAATGTGAACTACACCAGGAAACGGGGGGTCTGATGTCCCATGCACCCTCAGTGGGAGAGGGGCCTTGGAGCTCTTCCTTAGGGTTGCGGGGTGGAGTTTTGGTGAGAAGCCCTTCTGAAAGAAGCTTCTTCTCCTTCTCCATCTCTGACTGAGAATGGGTCCTCTTTCTGAGATACATTTATTTCCCTTCTTCATATGTCTCTGGGCCTGGGTGGGACTGGATAACCTGCTGGAAGCCTGGCCTCCCCATCCCCTCACCTGACCCTCACTGGGAGATTGTTTCCAGGAAGGGGAGGTGGGCTTGGCTCTCAGCCTTGGTGTCTCCTGCCAGCCCAGGAGTTCCCCTCCAGAACAATTTCTCAGCAGTACCTCAGTGCTGAATTGCTCAGTAAGATTCCCTAAGTGGGCTTGCTGCTCACTGCAGGCCCGAAAGCAGTCCCCAGGGCACCATTATCAAACCTGAGGGCAGAAGTGCCTGACCTATCTATTCCAGGCACAGAGAGCCTGCTGAGGGCTTTGTGATGCTGGGCAGGTAGGTGTCTTTCCACTCTGGGCTCTGGTTTCTGTTCTGCACAGTAAGGGAGCTGACCTGTGTGATCTCTGAGGTGCTTCCTGCTCTCTTATGCTTAGGCTTTACACTATGGTTTCTCTCTCTATCCCGTTTCTCTCTCCATCCCAACATCCTGCCCAATCACTCTTCCCAAACAACGGTAGACTCAGCCCTAGGCTCAGCCCGGGGAATGTGCTGTGCTGCGCTGAGTGTGGGCCCAGATCTTTTTTTTGGTACCGGGGATCGAACTCGGGTCCTTGCGCTTGTGCAGCAGGTGGCGAAACCACTGAGCTAAATCCTGGCCCCCAAGGGCCCAGATCTTTAAATGAAAAACTTTCAAGGAAGTGCCCCAGGGAAGGGGCCACTTGGGGACTTTCAGGAGGGGCTCACAAGGAGCCCGGGCAGGCTGGGAACTTGTTTCCGGGCCTTGCCCATCCCAGCCTCATCAGGAAGGTCTGGTCTTCACCCCCAGGCCTCAGGGAGACAGCCCTCAACTTCACGGTGAGTGTGGACGTGGCGAAGCAGAGGAAAAGGCTTCAGTGTGCAGACACGAGGGAGTGCCTGAACCACCGCCTAGAGTGGAATAGTGAGCCCCGCCTCTGCAAGCACCTCCAGCTTGTCTCCACAGAGGGAGAGGTGAGCGCAGGAATTGATACAAGAGTCCAAAGGGATCTGTGATACTGAGAAAAGATTTGAGGTGCATACCATATAGGAGACACACCCACACATACACATGAGGTGACTAAAATAATCATAACAAATCAAGAACCCTAATGGCATGGGAGATGTAGATAATTACATCAAAAATACAATGAAGGCTAGGCGTGGTGGTGCATGTCTGTAATCCCCTCACTTGGGAGGCTGAGGCAGGAGATTGCTGGGAGTTCAAGGCCAGCCTAGACTACATAGTGAGAGTTCAAGGCCAGCCTGAACTACATAGTGAGACCCTGTATAAAAAGAAAGAAAGAAAAAGAAAAAGAAATGACAATGAAAGAGACTGGGCTGGGAGTGTAGTTCAGTGGCAGAGCACATGTTCGTTGCATATGGGAGGCTCTGGGTCTGGTCATCAGCACCATTAAAAAAAAAAAAAGAAAAAAAAGAAATCTATGAACATTGAACACTGTATCTCTGACCTTCCTAGAAGCTGGACAAAAACACAGGTACTTCAATCAATGATGTTTGTCTTGGTAGTAAATCAGAAATGTTTATTATGTTGTCTTATCTCACTTGATACCAGTGGCTGAAGTTCCTTCTGGTAGTCAACATCCAAAAATATCAAGCAGTTAAAAGGTAGAAATAGAAAGACAGAAGTTATCATTTAGGATGGCTTTCTCCTGGCAAACTAGAGACGTGGAAAAAATGTATTTGTTTGGACTCAGACCTTTAAATGAATTAGAACTTTGGGCCTATAAGGATCCTTTATTCCCATAAACAAGCTCATGAATTAGACTTCTGACTATAAGTCTGCTTTCAAGGTGATTGTTAATTGGCTTAAGAGCACATCTGTGACTTTCCTTAATAAAAGCATAATTACATTTTCCACCAGGGAATCAAGCTAACTTGGTTTCATGTATTCAGAGCTGTTCTCACTGCAGAAAGGCTCACTTGAACAAAGAACATAGCAAATGGGATCCTCAGCTCTCTCCTTGCTGTCAGTTTCTACTTCTCTCCTACAACCTCCATGCTGCTTTGAGAATGATCTTTGTAAACTCAGATGTGACCATGACTCTTCCCTCCTGCTACTCTCACTGCCTTCCAAATAAAGTCCAAGCTAGTTCTTACCCTTGATGGCCAGAATCCCTTTGTGACTGGGGTAAGAACCACAAGGAGTTATAAGACCTGAGGCCATGGCAGACCAAGGGCAATTTTTCCCAAACTCTTGGCAACTTTGCCCTTCAGCCTGGCTTATCTGGAAGATGTGTAAGACTTCTGATCACCACTTTGATTTTCTTTCTTTCTTTCTTTCTTTCTCTTTCTGCCTTTCTCTCTCTCTCTTCCTTTCTTTCTTCCTCCCCCCCCCCCTTTTCTTTTGTACTGGCGATTGAACTCAGGGCCTCTCTCTTGCCAGGCAGGCACTGTGCCACTGAGCTACATCCCCAGCCTGATTTTTATTTCTCAATGACTATATAAAAGTTGAAAGTACTCTTCTTGTCATCTTCTCTCCATGTTCACCTCTGACCCCACCTTCCACGGTGACCCCGCAGCTCTGTGAGGAGGACTGCTTCTCCAACATCATTGTCAAAATTAACTACGAGCTCCAGGCTCCTGAGGGACGGGAGAGGCACATCTACCCCATCCTGGACATTTACATGGAGCCTTCTGTGATCTTCCAGGTGACTCTGTTCCCAGCTGGGGCCCACACTCCTAGGGGCCACCCCAACAAAAAGCACCTGCTCCCCTGACTTCAAAGAGGGCTAGAGTTGGCAGGGAAGGTCTTCAGAGAGGAGTCAGGCTCATCACTGTACAAATGGGGAAAGAAAGAGAGTCCCTGAGATGGTGTTACCTGGCGTAGGGCCTCACTGGTAGGTAATAGGTCTCCAACCATCCCCCAAAGCTTGTTCCTTTATGGCTCACTAAGATGCCCACTATGTATTTAAGGAAGCATGTGAATACATTGTGTACTGGGTGCTCACTTAGTGAGTGTAACTGAGGACAGTCTGGTGGGGGTCCCTTGCAGGGCTGGACTGGAGCTGTCCTGTCATGGGCTGAAGGGAGAGAGCCCTTTGGTGTACCTGCCTATTCAGGCATTGGTCGGGGTCTGCAGGTTGTATGTCTGGCCCTCTCAAACCTTCAACAAGTTAGATGATTCAGAAAAGACTGGGAAAACTAATGTCATAGAGTTTTGGTGATAAGCAGATTGTCATTCATTATATATATTCTCTTTTTAAAAAACTTGGCTTTGAAATATTTAACTTATTAAAAAGTCACAGTGATCATTCAGAGCCAGATGCAGTGGTGCACCTGTACTTCCAGTTACTCAAGAGGCTGAGTGGGCTGGGGATTTAGCTCAGTGGTTTCGCCGCTTGCTGTGCAAGCGCAAGGACCTGAGTTCGATCCCCAGAACCAAAAAAAAAAAAAGAGGCTGAGTCAGGAAAATCACTCGGGCCCAGGCTGGGCAACATAGCAAGATCCTGTCACACGCATGCATGCACACACGCACGGACGTGCAAATGCCAAGAGTTTATACAATTTTCATTTGAGAATAAATTACAGATATTATACCTCTTTACTTCCAATACTTCAGTATATGTTTCCTAAAACAAAGGCATTCTCTAACATAGCATAGCACAATGATAAAAATCAGGAGATTAATACTGATATAAATATTTTATCATGAGATGCTTTGAGATCATGTATGTATTGTTTAATATTTATTTATCAGTCTGACCTTAATCAATTATTACTATGGTTGTATGGGAAAGAGATTTAAATATTTTTATTCTATCCATAAAGAAGGATGAGAAAAATTATCTGGTGTGGCCACATAGCTATTACCGAAGAATGAGTTCTCGCTGGGAATTTAGATGGCTGGCTTCACCCTGTTCCCTTTCACTGGGACTGGATGAAAGAGAACAAGCTATTTGGCTATATAAAAACCCAAAAAGCCCTGGACAAAACTGGTGACCCAGTTAGATGGAGCTCCACACTCTGTCTTCTGCAAACTGTGACTCCCTTCTCCAGGAAGCAGAAAGTCTCCTTTCAAGCTCTGGGCTCCTGTTCCAAGCCCAGGCCACAATAAAAACAGCCCTACAGAAGCTGCCTTGGGGATCACTGGCTGTTGGGGAGACACAGGCAGAGACTCCCCAGCTAAGGAGATAACTGTGTTTCCTTCATTAAAAAAATAGACCCACCTATTTTAGAATGTTTGATTTTTCAACTCAAACTGGGACTTTTAAATCTTGAAGAGGCCTATTGAACCACTTGTGATTTTTTCGAATTCCTTTATTATTTGTATTCAGGATTACAAGGGAAATAGTAACCTACCGAGAACACAGCCAGGGAGTGGAGGACATCCGAGGAGTGGACCTGTTGATATTTGGTCAGGTGACCTTGGCTCCTGCCCCAGCTATTCCCACCCGTACTTGAAAGGGTTATGTTTTCCTTCACAAAGGTTTTTCCTCCCCAAGTGTTTGGAGTAGCCAGCTGCTTGTGAATGCTGCTGTTTAATTCACATGACGTGAGTGTGCCTGACTTTGCACCATTCCACAATTCCACACCCACCCTATTTTTACCTTTGCCAGAAGCCTGACTGTGGATGTGTCCATGTTGCGGGCCTAACCAGGGATGTCACAGCCATAGCTCTCCTGGCTGTGTAGGCTCAATCCCAGCCTGCCAGCCTTTGCTACTATCTGGAGCTTCCGGAGTAAGCAGGGAGGTGTCCTAAGCAGAAGATCATAAGGCAGGGCCACAGGTAAGTCAAGACCCCTTGGCTGACCTCACCTCTTGTTGTCTTGTTACAGCTGCCCTACGAGAAGGCCTGCAAGAATCAGCTGTTTTGCATCGCTGAGTTACAGCTCGCCACTGCCATGTCTCAGTGAGTTGGGTGATGCCATAGTTTCTGCAGTTAATTTACTCCTGAAGATTTACCCGGGCAAACTTCTCAGCAGGATCCATTGCTCACTTCCTTCTCCTCTCCTGTCATGGTCCTCCAAAGGCTTTTGTGGTTGTTGTCTGAGCCACTATATGAGGGAGGCCAGACAGAGATTTGTGTCTCCATTTTATAGACCAGGAAGCAGACACAGTAGCTGAGGCCTTTGAATAGGGTCACAGTGATCATTTGGTGGATTTAAACCCAGCTCTTGACATCCGGGATGATGTTTTGTTCATGACCCAGTGATCCTCACTCCTAGGGCTAGTTCCATTAGAGGTAACCTGTTTTCTGGCTCACCTCTTAGACAAATTCATAATAATTCATCAAATATCTCTGTGCTGAGCACTGGAGGCACTGGGAAAACCTCCAGGAGAACATAAACAAAAATTCTAGCCCCTTTGGTGCTTTTCGGGGGGAGAAGATAATAGATAAATAAATTCTATATTGAGCATGGAATGCATAAGGCAGGGAAGATGGGAGTGTTGCAGGTGGGGATGAATCTTTAAATCAGGTCAGGGAGGCTGATGTTTGGCACATATATAAGGAGGTGGGGGAGGCAGCTATCTGGGTGTCTGAGGAAAGAGCAACTACAAATGCCCTGGGGTGGGAGGTTGCCTGGCAGGTGGGAGACAGGGCAAGGACTCAGTGTGGTTGCAGTGGGGTGACTTGGGGTGACTAGAGTGGGATGAAAGAGTAATATGGGCAGTCCAACAGGGCTGCATCAGCCCTCAGAAGGGCTTTCACTGTGAACAGGGAGACCACATGGTGATATAATCTTGCATTTTAACACTGTAGCCCCTGCTGATGTGTGGAGAATGGATTGTAGGAGCAGAGGCAGAAGCAAGGAGATAGTAATTACTATTGCAATGATGCCTGTGAGAGATGATGGTGGCTTGGATCTGGGTGACAGCAAAGAAGGTGGTTACAGTACAAAGTGAAAGCCCATAGGGTCTGTGGGCAGAGTGGAGGAGGGGAGTGAAGAGAGAGCACAGCCTGGGCATGCAGCCCGATACAATCTTTTTTGGCTATTTACATTTAAAGTAATTAAGCTGAAACATAATCAAAAATACTAGTTCCTTATAGGCCCTGCCACATTCCAAATGCTCAATACCCTTGTTTGACCAGTGGTACTAGACAGCACAGACAGACCAGTTCCGTCACTGTACATTCTGGGCGGGCTAAGAGTGTTCCCACACTCTGAATTTCAGAACTATGGAGTTGCCAAGAACTGAACTGAATTGGGAGTTCGATTTTGGACATTTGATGGTCTTCAAATGCCTTTCTGGCTACTAGTGCCACGGGTGTGTCATGATACTGAGGGCTATTTGGCCGGAGTAGCCATCTATGGGGACGGATTTGTCCCCTGAATCCTCTCAGATATTTGCAGGTCTTGCATCTCAGATGTGCATGGCTTAGTGGTGCCTATCACTAAGGACCCAATTCAAGACCTTCCAGTGCTTTAGAATCCTGACTAACAAGTAGTCACAGCTCTTTCCACAGGGAGTTAATTGTAGCTAAGAAGCATCCTGGCAGTCAATTCCCCGTGAAATAGATGCAGCATGCACAGCTTGTCCTGCATTGCCCCCTAGTGTACATAGCAAGCAAGCGCTTCCATTTCAAAAGCATTACTGAGCCCAATCCTCAGGGTCCCAGTGACTCAGTGATTTTTTTACCTTTCTACAGACAGGGATCCCCTAAAAAAGCAATGAAACGTACAGACCCATCTCCCTAAACTATATGTGCATACATAAATGTTGGTATTCTGGGACCTCTGAAACTGTCCCTGAGCCTCAGGTTAAGAAACCCTATTAAGAAAGAAGGTCCAAAGGGGAAGGGGAAGTGGAGAGATTGGGGAAAGGAAAGAAGGGAAAGGAAAAATACGAGAAAAAGCAAAAAGAAGAAAAGAAACCCTGTTAAATATTCTGATGCAGCTCAGATCTCACTCTTGGGCCCTAAAGCAGTATATCCAATAGGCATTCAGCACTTCCGTCTCATTGACCTAGAGGTACCTCTTCTCGTTTCCCAGACTGAACTCATCTCCTGCGTCCTGGGGTCTTCCCCTTGTGTTCTTTCCCTCAGTGAGTAACACCAGGGAGCCACCTGAACAGGAAACTCAATACTAAATCCCCTCCTCCATTGCCTTAACACCTCTGACTCTCCTCACCCTTCCTCCATCTCCACTAAGGTTGTATTTCCGGCCTGTATCACCTCTTGGAAGGATTTCCAACAGCAAGGCTCTAATTGTATCTGCCCCCTATCTTTTCCTCTAGCTCTTCTGGCTGTGATAAGATGCAAACCAGAAAAAAGCAACAACAAAACACAAGCCACACTACTTCCCATATCTGCACATTTCTTCTTTGGACATTTCAGATAGTTTGAAAGTTTCCTTTGTATTGTTACTGTGTCACCCCATAGATCTCAGAAGTAGTTAACATAACATGTGGGCAGTCTGCTGAGTGGGCTCATGTCTTGAACCACAGCTTTTTAGTTAGATGGGCCTGAATGATTTTTGCAGGAGGGAAAGCTAAAGCCATGAAAGAGGGCTTTGCTGGGTGTGGTGGTGCACACCTGTGATCCTAGCACTCGGGAGGGTGAGGCAGGAGGCTCTCAGCAAGTTCAAGGCCAGCCTGGGCTATATAGTGAGTTGGAGGCAAGCCCAAACTGCATAGCAAGACCCTGTCTCAAAGCAGGGAGGGCTTCGTAAGAAGGCAGAATTGTGTGTGGCTTGTGTATACTGCTCTCCAGTGCTGTGTGGAGCACCTGACTTATATACAGTGTCCCATAAATATTTGTAGAATGGATAAATATGTGGCATGAAGAACCTTACCTAGGGCCACAGTGATGTGGTGGTAGAAAGAGGATTTGAGTTCAACTCTCCCAACTCGGGAGGATGCTAGACTTCAGGCAAATTGGCCTCTCTTGATTCCTTTTCTTCCTCTACAACGCGGAGAGTAACTGTTCCATTTGATAGGGTTTTAAGGGGATTAATTGAGGGTATGAAGCACAGTCTTGGCACATGGAAAGCACTAAGTAAATGGTAGCCATTGTCATCTCACCCAGCGACTGAGATGGGTGTGGCAGCCCAAGAGTTGGCTTCTTTGAGGAGAAGAAGATCTAGGCTAAATGTATCCTTTAGACAATTTATCTATGTAGTTAAGAATGTGCTATTCTACTGTATTTAAGTTTTTACAGATTAAATAAATTGGTAACACTTTTATCTTTACCCTGTGCAGGCAGGAATTGGTGGTGGGTCTCTCCAAGGAACTTACCATGAACATTAGCCTAACTAACTCTGGGGAAGATTCCTACATGACAAGCATGGCTTTGAATTACCCTAGAAATTTGCAATTTAAGAGAATACAAAAGGTAATTGTGGCAGCAGTGTTGAAAACATCCACTCATATCTTTCCCCTGCTACACGCCTCCTTTTTGTGTGTGACAACCTCCTTTCTGGTCTCCATACCTCCAGCCTCCTGCTCTGTCCAGTAAATGATTAATGATTAGATGAATCCTCTCCAATTCAACTGTATGCTGTAGATCCAGTCTCTGTCTTAAAAACTTCTAGTGGCACCGTTTCATATACTCTTCTCTGCATACTGCCATTCTTTCTTTCTTTTTCTTTTTCTTTTTTTTTTTTCCCACACTGCGGATCAAACTCAGGACTTTGAGCTTGCAAGGCAGGTGCGGTGCCCCTGAGCTAAAACCCCAGCCTCTGCTGAGTTTGTGTGATGCTGCCTTTCTTAACCAGGATTCTGAGAGATAAATAAGCTCAAAAGCTCTAAGTCATTGAAAAAGTAAAAATTAGCCAGATATGGTGGCACACACCTGTAATCCCAGCACTCTGGGAGGCTGACGCAGGATGATCACAAGTTCCAGCCCAGCCTGGGCAATCTCACCTAAACTCCACCCACTCCCACAATCCTCTATAATCCTTTAATAACTCTGGGCTTTTCCTTTCTTGGGTGAAACTCCTCCCTACAGTACACTTTTCCTCATTTGCAATGAGTCAGTAAACGACTTTGTTGCAACTACAGGTTTGTCTCCAGTGGGCTAGAATAGCATCCATTATATGAAAAAAAAAAACAAACACCCAAAATTATCTCCTATGCATCTAGAATAGAATTAGTGGTGTACAATCCATGGGAGAATTGTTTCCTGTATTCAGTGGTCCACATGAAGGACCATAGTTGAAAGGGTGATGCAGTGTTTGAGCCCATTCTGGCTTCCATTCCATCTCTGTGTGTGACATTTGCATGGGTCCACATCCCAGTTCAAATGTCTCCTCCCTGTGAGGATTTTACAGGGTCCTCCTGGTTGGAATTCATCTTTCCCCACTGTTCCTCTCTCAAACCGCTCCCCCCATGCTTTCTATTCAAATGACAGGGGCCAAGTCTCATTTATTGTATCCCCAGCTCCTGGCAGGGTGTCTGGCACTGAGAAAAAAAAAAATCAGTGAATGTTTGTTGAATTGGTGTGAGAAAACTGCTCTTTTGCTCCTTAAGAATGGTGTCTTATTCTGTGTTAACAGCCTCCTGCTCCAAACATTCAGTGTGCTGACCCTAAGCCAGTTGCATCCATCCTGGTCATGAACTGCAAGATTGGTTACCCCATACTCAAGAGGTCATCTGTAAGTCTATCCTGACTGGTGGATCTTCTCACTACCCTGGAGCTGGTGTTATCCACATCCCAGTCTTTCTGTGGTCTCTATGCTTCCCTTTACTGAAGTCAACCCATGGCAGTGCTCAGAATTGCTGTTTGCTCTGAAAGGAAGGATTGGTAAAGGAGTAGTTTGAGTATATAGTCATAGACAGAGTGTTGGCTCACCCCAGGAAAGCAGAATGAAGTTGGGGAGGGGCATCAGACCAAATTCTTTGTGCTGCAGGAAGCCTCCCCAGTGGTTTCCTAAACTATAGAAGGGTGGGCCAGGGATTTAGCTCAGTGGTTCTGGCGCCTGCCTTGAAAGTGCAAGGTCCCGAGTTCGATCTCTGGTACCAAAAAAAATTAGGCTCTAAACTATACAAGGGGAATTAGAAGGGGAATAATGCCACCTGCCCTGCTCACTCCATATTTGCCTAGTAAAGTACACATGAAATAATGGAATAATAATGTGTGAAAATGTGTTCCGCTACAGAAATGTGAGGAATGTGTTGTTTCTTACATCTGCTTAATACTAAGCAGTTGTAACTGTGAGTGGTAAAGAGAGGAATCAAGTGACCATCTTTCCTCCTTTAAAATAGGTAAACATGTCAGTAGTTTGGCAGCTGGAAGAGAATATCTTTCCAAACAGAACAGCAGACATCACTGTGACCACCGGCAAGTAAGTAGTGCCTGTGTTGCTGCAAACTCAGGCTGTGTTCTTGGAAATCTCTCCTGACCCCCAGCACCATCCAAATGCTGTGAGAGCTCCGGCCTGCTCCCTGGCCAGGGAGAAGGGGAACCTCAGTGAGTCCACGGAAGTCTCCTGTGTCCTCATGGTAACATCATATTATCAAAGATATTTAAAACATTCTTTTATTCACACAAAGTAAAACTATGCTATAGTGGGGTGGAATGAACTTTGGACTAGATTTCTGGTTCTGGTTTATTTAACTTTGGAATAACTGCAAAACCTCCATGTTTAGAGGTTTTGATTAAGACTCAAGCAGGGGTGATTCTGTTCCCAGAGGCAATGCCTGGAGACTTTTTTTTGTTTCACTATGTAGCTCAGACTGCCCTTGAACTCACTGTGTAGCTTAGGCTGGCCTTGAACTCACAGGCGATTCTCCTGCCTCAACCTCCTGAGAGCTGGGATTATAAGCAGTGCCACCACACCCGCTTCCTGGAGATTTTTGTCTTGATTTAGGAGGTGACTCTGGCATCTTATGGATAGATGAGGGATGCTGCTAAACAATGTACGAGACAACTCACCAACAAAAAATTATCTGTCCCCAAATGTCAATAGTGTTGATTTTAAGAAATCTTTTAAAAATCAATCATTTCTCTGTGGTCTTCTAGTGATTATTTTGCACTCTAATTGCGTATCTCTGAGAATTTTCTTATCTAACATCCCCTCCACATCCCCATGATCCTAGGAAGCCAGGCTGTAGAAGCAACTGTTACATATACAGCTGTGAATTAACATTTTATTTCCAGTTCTAATGGAAGATCTTTGGCTAGAAAGACCCACACTCTTCAATTCAGGCATGTCTTCATTGCAGTTCTTTCCAAGTAAGTACTCCCAAGGGGCCTGCACCTGTATGACTGCCATGCACAGAGGAAAACTTCAAGGAGTCCCTCTTGTGGGTGGAAATAGCAGTCAGGGTAGATATGGGCAATGTCCTCTGACAGGAGGCTGTTTAAAACCCAAGCTCCAACACTGATCACTAGGGCACAAGAGTTGGGTTCTAGAAACCTCATAATGGTCATCAGAGGAGCAGTGCCAACTGGTTTTGCCCCAAAAGGGAATTGATGTGATGCTATAGAGGAAGGGCTGTGGCATTGGGAAGGAGGGGAAAAAGTAATGCTACTGTGAGGAGTGATAAGTAGAAAATGAACTTGTCCAACTATATGCAATGCAAATACCCCACCTCATCCTAACTGTTCTATAACCACTCTTCATTTAGACACTCAGCTTTGATCCCTATTAAGGATCTGGTACCCTTGTCCGAGTGTATCCAATTGGAAGCATTCAAGTCCATTCAAAACATGAAGAGGACCTTGGGGCTAACACTTGTCCTCTCAATTGCAGACCATCTGTGATGTACATGAACACAAGCCGGGGGCTTTCTGACCATAAAGAATTCCTTTTCAATGTAAGTGCTTAGTCAGTGTAAAACTACCTTTGGCAAAGAAGCATGAGCTTTGACTTCCTGCTCTGATTTTTATTTGGCAGATATATGGAGAAAATCTGTTCGGAGCCCGATTCCAGCTGCAAATTTGTGTACCAATCAGATTACAAGGTCTCGAGATTTTAAGAGTGAAGAATCTGACAAAGATTCAGGTACTCAGACAATTCTTTTTTTTTTTTTATTGGTACCAGGGATTGAACTCAGGACCTTGCGTTTGTGAGGCAGGTGGCAGAACCACTGAGCTAAATGCCTGGCCCTACTTAGACAATTCTTTATCATGATCACATCTCTTTTCATATTGATTATGGATTCTCAAAGGTATAAAAACTACAGCTTTAGGTGGACACAGAGGTGCATGCCTGTGATCCTCCTGAGTATTGGGAGGCTAAGGCAGAAGTGAGAGTTCAAGCCCAGACTGGGCAATTTAGCAACTTAGTGAGACCTTGTCTCAAAACAAAAATTAAAGAGGGACCCAGTACTACAAAAACTAGAGATTTAGCAGAGTAAAAAAACAAGGTTAACCATGAGAAAACTTCTGTTACCAGTCATGTCTAGGAGGAATATCAACCACTCAGGTCTTGTTTTCTTCTTGATGAAAAACAAGCAAAAATTCAAATATTAATAACCACGGAGAATTTCTCCTTTAAAAATTGAAAAATTCTGCTCTATGTACCTGGTGAGTGAGCCTGAGAAACACGATATTTCTCATACTCTTATAGTCTACTTTGCTTTTTTCCCCCCTCTAGTTTCTTTCCTGGTCTCTGTTTTGCTATAGTCTCTGTTTTCAGTTGACTTCTCATTCTCTTCCTCTGGTTTCCAAAGCCAGCCTTGATACCTAAAGGAACAGGATCAGTATAACTAGTGCCTGGGCTGGACCCTGCTGACAATTAGAGGATTTACAAGTTGCAAACATTTGTTCTCATATTTATTCAGTTATTTTTCCTTTGAGCCTGAGATTCCTCTAATAGCTTAACTGGGGGGTAATAGAAGGATGTAGACAAGTATTGACAATATAATGCACACAACAATTTGGTGCCATCAATGGCACATCAGCGAAGGAGCTGATTCGATAAGACCTGAATGCAGAGCAATTTAGAGTATGTCCTCCATAGATGTTATTTATTTATTTATTTATTTATTTGGTACTGGGGATCGAACTCGGGTCCTTGCGCTTGCGCAGCAGGCGACAAAACCACTGAGCTAAATCCCTGGCCCAGATGTAATTTATTTTTAAGAATGTTTGTTAACAGCAAGTTTAATCATTTCAACAAACATTTTTTTCCATTTGAAAACAAAACTGTTTGAAAAGCTGATTGGAACCATGTAAGAATGGGAAGTCTACCTCCACCCAGCTCTAGGGATGGAGACTGCAAACAATCCTGGAGGCTTCAAGATCAGTGCCCTGACTTTGGGGCAGTAAGACTTACTCACTTACTGAAACAGACTGTGTTGGCAAAGCAGGTCAGTGGCAGAACTGAAGTTAAGCACTGTCCTATAGAAATGCTGGATCTTTTTCTTCATTTCTTTTAAGGCAGGGGTGTTATGTTTACTCTTAAAGGTCATATGATTCAGGATCTTGTCTGTGAGGTAATGTAGCCAGAGCACATTATTATAAGGGTGGTATTCACACCAGCAGTTGTTGTTCTCTTTTCTCATAAGCCTGTAGATCTCAAACTGATAGTCACCTTCACCTGCAAATAGGTCTTCATCCATAGAAATGTCACAGAAAACCACAATCCCATCCCGCTCCAAGCGTGACAGGGTGTAGTCAATGATGTTGACTTGCAGCCCATGGGTAGGGATTGTGCTTGTCTTCCCATTGAGGGTGTAGTGGAACTCCTTGAGGTTGGTTTTCTTTAGGAGCACATTCCCCCAGTGTAAGTCTCGGTGCTCAAAGGACAGTGATGCCTCTGCCACTGCAAGGGATGCTGTGATCTGGTGCAGAATGCTCTTTGCAGTAGCTATGGAAGACAACTTTGTTTTCATTTGCTCTAAGTCAATCCCACCAAACTCAAATTCCATTACAATGAAGAGCTGGTCTTCCTCAAAAAAGTCAGGCCGGTCATTTGCAGACCCTTTGGTTGAGTTATAGTGATCCCAGGCTTTGAGCAGCAAGGGAGGGTAAGAACCTTGAACACAATGCACTGAGTTCAGCCCAATAAAGCCTTCTGTACGGTTGTACACCTCACCAGACAAGAGGCTCAACTCTTTGGAGATGATGATCTCTGGTAGGATTTCCTCAAAGGTTTTCTGATGGGATCCATTCACTAAACCTGCTCCTTCAATAGCAATGATTTTTAGAGCTACAGGTATGTTATCAGCAATTGCTTGAAACACTTCACCAAACACCCCTTCCCCAATCTTCTCACAATGTTCCAGTTTTTCTGAAGAAAGGCAGTAACTAAAGGGGATAGGACCTTCCTGATTGCATTCCCCATAAACCTTTTCAGCATCAGATGCCTTTTTGTCTGCAACATGTGGACTCCTTAAGGGGCTTAGCAAATACATAGAAGAGGAGTGCCAAGGGTCTAGAGCACTATTTGTTCTGTTCAGGGCAGAAAGGCTTGAATTTTCTGAGATGAGGGACTCAGAGAGAGAACTGGTGGTGGTATAGCTGCTGCACCCCTCTGACATATCAGTCACAACTTTCTTCTTGTGGAAACTGAAGGAAGCCTTGGTTTTAACCCAAGAGCAGGCCTTCTGAAGAGTCAGGTCCTGGGAGGAGGATGAATCCTTCCCCATCTTTTGATCCTTTTTAAACTGGTGGCAATGGAAGAGAGAAGTTTCCGCTTCTTGATGTTTCCTCTTCTGGCTTAGCCCAGTTCTCTCAGGCCTGTTGATTTTCTTAGGTACAACTGTGCCCTTGGAACCACTGGCCTCCTCACAGTCTTTCCAGATGGCCCCCTGAGACCCCAGCTTTTGAAAAGAGCCCTGGTCTGTGGTCCTCTTCTTACTCGTGCTTCTTAGACCTGAGGTTTCCAGCCTGTTTCTCCTCAGTTGTCTTTTACAATGCGACTCCTTCATATTTTTCCTATCTGTCCCAAATTCAGAACCCTCGGGGTTTCCTGAGTCCTTAAGGCCTAAGGGAGCTGACCTGAGGCAGACACGAGATCGGTGGACCGTCCTGTTGACCCCGCCTCCTTTTGCTGCTTCCCGGGAGTAGGGGAGAGATGCTTGGCCCCGCGAGGTTGCTGGGCCGTGGAAACGGCTCGTGACAGTAGAGGCTGCATCTGGGGAGGCGGAGGAACTGATGGAAATGATACTGTCCCCTGGCGAGGGCGGCCCGAGGTCGTTCGAGGCCGGAGAGCTGAACAGGGAGGCACTGGTGCCCACCTCGTCGCCGTCCCTGGGTTGGCTGCTCACGCTGAGGTGGTCCAGGTGGCTGCTGGGGAAAGGCGGCGGTCGGAGCGGGTCGCACGGGGTGCTGCACTTCTGCGGCGGCCGAGGTCGCAGCCTCAGGCGTCTCGGGGTCGCAGTTAGCGTCGGCCGGCCCTTGGAGACTCTGCCGCCAAGACGCCTCCGCCGTCGGCCGACCGGGCTGCCGGGGAAGTCAGGGTCGTCAGGATCATCGGAAGCAAGAGACTGTGAGGGGCTGCTGTTGGCGTCGCTGCTGCTAAACAAATGCTCCTGCTTCTGCGGCGGGAACCACCGCGCGGCTGTCCGGCCCGACCGCCGCTGTCGCGGTCTCCCCCCGCCAGCAGCCTCATAAGTCCGGAAGAGCCGGTTCTCTGGTCTCCGGAACGACGCCGCCATGGCCGGCTGACCCGCCAAGCAGCTCAAATTCAAACACCGCGAGACTCCCGCCCGTCCGCCGGTCTACCCGCTGGGTCCTAGCTTCCTGCCTTACGCAGGAGCAGCAGGCTGGGTTGTACGGAAGCCGACAAGGGCAGTTTTGTTTTCTCAGTGCGTTGCGGGAATGGCTCTCATTGCAGGACTACACGGTGTGCACCCAGAGTGAGGAGCGTGCCTGTGGGAGCGATCCGGTTCAGGTGAGCGTGGCCGCCCCGAGAGGCTGAGGAAGGGACTGGGGAGGGCCTGACGCGGGTGACAGGAGAAATCAGGTGGCTGTTTTTCTAAGGTTCCCCTGAAGCCCTTAACATCCTCCTCACTGAGTTTGCCAGAATGGGGGTTTGCTGGGGCCAGGGTGATTGGTCAAACTGCTCACTCCCTTCCCTCTTGGGTCCTTAAGGGACATTGTGTCCTAAACGTTAAAAATGTCAGTGTTTCCACACGGAACGGGATTAAGATAACTACATACACTTTGCTTTTCTAGCATGTTGAAAAGTGGCACTCAGTGAGCTGTGCCATCACTTCGGATAAAGAAAATGTCACCGTGGCTGCAGAGATCTCCTTGGATCACTCTAAGCAGGTACTTGAGACTGAACAGATTTGGTTTTCAAGCTCTAGGGCATTTCTCCCTACAAAGGATAATAGTATTTAAAATGTAACGCGTCCTTGTGCCCACTTTGGCAGCCATACACTAAAATGTAACAAGTCTTAAAACAGAGCTCTTTGTCCACCTTCTGTCCCAGCCTGTTCCTCAACCAGTTAGTGGCGCTACTCTCAGTAAATAATTTACTCCTATTGGGTACTAGGAATTCTGGAAATTACCGATGACACCCCGTTTTCTACATCCCATATTTATTCCAGCAGCAAGCCCTGCAGTTCTATCTCCAGGATATATCCTAAATCCATTCACTTCTCTCCATCTCTACTGCTACTGTTGTAATTCAGGCCACCATCTCTTGCCAGGGCTATCCAAGTAACCTTGGACCTGCTGTCCTTGCCTCTGTTTTTCTCATGCCTTCTACAAATAATTCTTCACATAACAGCTGTGCGTCTTCTAAAAGCAAACATTAGATTATGCTTCTTCCATGCTAAAAAATAATAATAAAATAAGAAAGAAAGAAAAAAGTGAGTTTGAACATACTTATACTAAAATCCATACATTTTTTTTCCATGGACTGCAATGCACTACATGATCTAGTCTCTGCTTGATTTTTCATAACTTTGTCTCTTAGCTCTCTGTTTTTTCCTTTGTACCCGGCATCAAACTCAGGACCTTTTGCTTTCGAGGCAGGTGGCAGAACCACTGAGCTAAATCCCCAGCTCTTCTTTCTCTCCTTCTGTCCCTTTCTTATAGCCCAGCTATTCTGCTCTGTTTCTAGCCATAGGACCTTTGTAATTGCTGTTTCTTTGTATAACATTGTTCTTCCCCTAAGTCTGAACATGAATGGTTTCTTATATTTAGCTCAAATCCTATTTTCTTAGAGAGGCTTTTCCTGATTGCTTATTATAAAGTGGGAACTAACGATCAAGTTTCACATCTTGCATTCATTTGGTTGAGCTCAGTGAGGTATGAGGAAATAGCAATGGGGTAGAGAAAAAAGGAGCATGAGCAAAAGGGAATTTTTTTAAAAAGACCATTGTCAACAACTGACTTTGGGTTGAGTTTGTGGCATGAAATAGAGGGTAAGGGAAAAGCTGAGGAATAACTGCAGATTTCTTTCTTGAGGTAATTGTGTGTATGCTGGTACCATTAATGAGACTAAGTAAAATGAGAGAAGGAACATGTTTAAAGGGAGAGATGGTGAAGGCTGTCCAGAAGCAGTTTGTTCATGTCTAAAATATGTTTTGTTACTGTCCCTCCTTCCTCCCATCTTATAGTTACTAAGAGATGTAACTGAACTACAGGTCCTTGGTGAAATATCTTTCAACAAAGCCCTATATGAGGGACTGAATGCAGAGAATCACAGAACTAAGGTAATCCCTGGCTGTTTTCTGGTCTGTGCTTAGCCTTTGAGCCCCTGCACAGGCACCCTCTGATTGCCATCTTCCTGCTTTTAGTCATTTCTGGTCTTGGCTCTGTCACTAACTGCCTTTGCAACCTTGAGTGCGTCAGCCTCTGCCTCAATTTTTTACCTGTGAAATAAGGCAACTGAATAAAAGGACTAAGCTGAGGGGGTCTAACTTGAAATAACTAGGGTGGAACTAAGAGCACTGTATACTTTGATTTGAAAATTTATTGACTTTGAAAAATATGGAGGGAATACATATTGGAAATAGTTCATAAATGAGAAATTATATTTGTTCACATTAAATATCTTCCTAGTATGTAATGTCATTGTTTTGTTACAGTATTAAATAGTTATAATACTCAGGAATGCATAATTCTTTTATAAGAATTAGACTAAGTACTAGAACTCTTGAAATTTGTTTCACCGAAGTATGACAAAAGTCAAACTGACATCTTTGGTTTATGGGCTAACTGCACCTGAGTGTGTTACCCTGAATTTTCATTCTTGTTGACACTTGCCTGTTCATGCTGCTAGTTTTAGAGATGATCTGTGAGCTCCTGAGTTAGGCCTGATTCTTCACTAGAGATGTCGGGTGCGTGAGCCTGGATTGCTAAATGTTAAATCCTCAGTTTTTCTCCCTGGAGGAAGAAGAGAAAGGAGCAATTCTCTAGACATGTCAAAATAACATTTTCTTTTATTTTGAAATATTTCTAATACAGAAAATGATATGGGAGAAATAGAAGTGCCTCATTATTGTACTGCTTAGGCTGGCCACCAACTCATGGCCAACTCCTCCTGCCTGTGCCTCCTGAGTGCTGGGATTACAGACATATGCTACCACATTTTGTTGTTTTTAAAATTTTTTTTAATTAAAAAAAAATTTATTTTGTTGTGGTCTGCCTTCTTTGATCCTTATGTTTTGGGTGATGGCTTGCCCCATGGCCAGTACGGAGTTACCAAATGCTACACAGGTTGAGTTACTCTTATCCAAAGGTCTGTTTGGATTTTGCAGTCAGATGATCTACGCCTGAGCTATACTCCCATCTGTTTGGATTTTGGGATCAGATCTCTTTTAGATTTCAGAAGTTTTGGATTTTGGAATGTTTGTAGACTTTACCAATTGAACATTCCTAATCTGAAAACCTGAAATCTAATTTGGAGCATGTTGGATTTGGATTTCTGAAGTAGGCAGGGTCAACTTGTATTTGCATAAGAGACAGAATAGGAAACAAGAGGTTAGCAAAAGGATTTTTCTTCATGTGCCTTTGCTTTTTAGAGAGGAAGCTTCCTAAAAGCTCGCAGGAGACATCCCTTTATATCTTATTAGTAAGAACTGGGTCTTGTTTCAATCACTAGCAAAGGAGAACAGTTGTGTCATGATTAGCTTAGACCAGAGAGAATTAGCATAGACCAAAAGAGGAAATGGCTACTGGGGGCCCTTATTGGTATTTGCTACAAGCAATATAACCTCTGTTCTGCTTCTCCATTAACCTCTGTCAGGGAAGCTTTGAGTCACTTTTAACTTGTGCGTTTTGAAGAGGAAAAAGGGAGAAGGCATTGAAGAAAAGAGTCATTGCCACTGGGCAGGGGATGTAGCTCAGTGGTGCCAAGTGCCTTGCAAGCAGAGTCCTGAGTTCAGTCCCCGGTACAGGGTGTGTGGGGGTGGGGATTGATTGTCTCTACTCAAATGTGGCTTGTTATTTCACTGAGATCTCGGGACTTCCTTTCATATCCTAAACCCAGATTCTTGAATTCTGTCCCCACTCCCCTCACTGTTTCTTTTCTGCAGAAAAAAAAGCCAGCTCTGCTCTGTCTTCCTTCTGCTCCATTAGTTTGTCACCTCCCCATTCCCAAGGCCCAGAACTCACTCCTGAGATCAGTTTTGAGTTACATAGGGTCTGGAGGCTCAACCAGAGTTTATAACATAATTAAAAGAGGCCTCAAGGGTGAATTTGTGCAGCTCCATAGCCTATGGAGAAATCTCTACAAAGCTTCTTGACCTTGGTGCTTAACATATGCGTGAAAAGAACTCAGTGCCTTGGGCAGGCAGAGCAGTCTATTTGGTGGCTTTTTAAAAATTTGTTCATTTGTTTTTAAACAGGGTCCAGGTTGGCCTTGAACTCACCATGTAGCCCAGGCTGGCCTCGAACTCATAGTGATCCTCCAGGCAGAGCAGCCTTGATGGCTCTGTGACCCCACTTAAGTCTTGGCAACATGCTCTGGCCACAGCCTGGGACTGCCGAGTCTAACCTGGAGAGCACCTCCCCTGAGCTTTCCAGCTGAGCCCAATCAGTGAGAGGAGATTATTCTCCTGAAATTGAAAAAAATGTTTGGAAAGTGAAAACTTGGGGGTGACTTTTAATAGAACTCCACAAGTACTACACATGGATATAATTTTGACTTTATTATTGTGTCTTGGTATCTTTGTTATATATTTATTGTGGGGAAAATGTATTACCAAAGACTGTAGGGTTTTGTGCACTATCCAGAAAAAAGCTGTCAGAACAGAGTTAGGAAAGACTTGGATATCATTTAAAATAAGTCAATGAGTGGGCTGGGGATTTAGCTTAGTGGCACCGTGCCTGCCTTGTAAGCGCAAGGTCCTGAGTTCAATCCCCGGTACCGGAAAAAAAAAAAGTCATTGAGTATAAGACGTAGGGATATGCAGGTGCATAGCTGGATGTAGAATCTTGATTTTCTGTCTCTGGTGCCATGGGATCCTCTTTCAGACTGTGACAGCATCTTTAATACAAGGTCACACTCTCTTTTTTTGGTACCAGAGATCGAACTCGGGTCCTTGTGCTTGCATAGCAGGCAGCGAAACCACTGAGCTAAATCCCTGGCCCAAGGTCACACTCTCTTGACAGACCTAGCTCTTCTAGATAAGAGACCAGAATGGTTCCTTATAAAGGATTTTGGGAGGCTGGAGTTTTAGCTCAGTGGTTTCGCTGCCTGCTGTGCAAGCGCAAGGATCTGAGTTCGATCCCCAGTACCAAAAACAAAACAAAACAAAACAAAAAATAAAGGATTTTGGTCATTGGATGATTTTAGATTATCTAAAATGCTGCATCAGGGGATGTTTAGCTTTTAGCTTTACTGTCATCAGTCTTGATCAATACACAGGCTGTTGCCAAGTCTTCATATTTTGCTCTTTAAAATAACATGGGGAAATTTATCTTTCTTTGCTTTATGTGATTGATTGGATGATCTTTTTGTCCTGTCTAGATCACAGTCATCTTCCTGAAAGATGAAGTATACCATTCTTTGCCTCTTATCGTTGGAAGCAGTGTTGGTGGCCTTCTGGTTTTGGTCGTGATTGTAATCATCCTGTTCAAGGTCAGTTCTACTTATTGTGTTTGTAAGGACAAGAGAGGACTGGGCTCTAGAGTTGGGCACAGTATGCTGTAGGACAGCCAACCCCCAACTTAGAGCATTTGCTCTGGTCTTGTGGCCTCTTCTTCCTCTTGCTTCAACCATACACCTAGGCAAATGAGTAACTCAGTTTTCTGTCTGAAAAATACAAAAGTCCAGTTGAAGTGTTGTAGTACAGAGAGATCTTCCTAAAACAGATCTATGATGTTTCCTTTTTAAAATCCTTTTCTTGGCCTGGGATTTAGCTCAGTGGTTCAGCTGCCTGCCTCACAAGTGCAAGGTCCTGAGCTTGATACCCGGTACCAAAAGAAAAAATCCTTTTCTTCTCTTCCCATATCTCAAAAGATCCTCTACTCTCTGGTCTGTACCCTTCTCCTCTCCATCCTTAAGATTTACTCTTTCCTCCAGACAAGTTGAATGATTCCCTAAATATGTTCAGCCTTTTTGCTTGTATACAGGCTACTCCCCTTTGCCAAGAGTCTCCCTCCCCAGTTTTTCACCTCATTCACACTCTTCCCTGAAAACTCAATGTAGAGACTCCTGGATCCTCTGGGTTGGGTTGTATGCTTGTCCTATGAGCTCCTTTCTGGAAACCTTTCCAAGTGGCAGTTACACTGTACTGTAATTATTCCCCTTCCCACTACATTCTGAGCTTCTTGATGTAGGAGACCGTACTCGATCTCTTTCTATGCTCAGCATGGTAGCCAATACTGAGTATTCCTACATAAATAAGATTATATCCACTATAGCCAGAACTATACTACTTTGCAGAATTAGTAAGGTTAAAAAGGTTCAAGTCCTCTGGGAGTTCAGAGTAACCTGGGAAGTTAGTTCTGATTGGGGAATAAGCACCTAGAAAGATAGCATTGAAGAGGGATCTGAAACGATTGACTTCCAGGGAGAGACTCAGAGGAGGGTAGGGGGAGGGAGTAGAAATTTGAGAAATAGGCCCGGGGATTTAGCTCAGTGGGTCCGGCGCCTGCCTCGCAAGCGCAAGGTCCCGAGTTTGATCCCCG